ATTCTCGTTGTATGCTACAAAATACTGTTAGTTACTATCGTATCGATCAAGTTAATGAATTTTACTCATTACATGAGTGCATATTTTACACAAATCGGTAAATATTTTTAAACATTGAAAATATAATGTAGGTGGATTTTTATTGTTGAACAATGTACGTTAATTATATTTATAATTTAATAAACATAACATAAAAATGTAACTTATTATTATACACAAGTTGAACATTGGTAGCATTTTTAATAATCAAACGGTAACTCGTAATATTCTAAAGCAACATTTTAAACACATTTTGTTGCTTAACTAATAACCACTTGTTTAATTTTTAATTTTAGATTTAGATTGATACATAAATAAAATATATTATAATAATGGCATATTATAATAAGTACGGGTCAGTACCGGCTCTAGGGAAGGGGCAAGCGGTTCGGCCGCACCGGCCACGCAACTCATGTTTTCTGAATATCACTTTATTTATTAATAATCATAATAATAATATTGTCCCAATAGTACGCAAATTACGACCCGTGTGGTTTTCTCAGGAAACGAGTAGTTCTCGACGAAAATCATAACAGAAGCAATATTATACGTACCTAAAGGTTATTTTGCTAACTCATTGTTATTGACTTGAAAATACTCAAACATATTTTATATTCTTAATTTAATTATAAGAAAAATTAATCAATACCCCCATTGATATAAATACCATGGTATTTATAATCAACGGTACCACTTAGGTACTTGGAAAATTGTTTATCGTCGACGACGACCGATGACGGTACACAATATTAGCTATAGCCTATAACAGTGGTTTTCAAACTTATTACACGGCACACCGTGCTCCACAAAAAATGTTCACGGCACACTCATCTTTATTCTTTTGGCACTAAATAAATAGATGAACAAAATTGTTTTGAATCATAATTATAAACAATTGATTAGAAATGTGTGCTTGATTGACCAATAAATGTTTATTAATTTTATTTTTATAATTTTATTCTTGGATAAATAGTTGAAATTTTTCAGAAGACCGCGGCACCCAGTTTGAAAACCACTGGCCTATAATTGGTATAAATAGTATAATAATACTATTTTGCTTTCGTAATTTAATTATTAACAAAAATGTATAATAATATTCATGACATTTATAATGAACTACGAAAATAATCTGGATACAGCCTACAAAAGGCTACATGGGCAACGCGCGTAATTTACTGCGAGACACTCAATGTATGACAACACAGAGCACCTCAATTTATCATTTTTATTTTGTTCAATTTCAACAAACATCACTTCGATCAAGTATTAATTACTATAGTATATTTGAATTACTAACATACAATAAATAAACTTACTTTTGGGGTAAATAAGTATTAGTTTTATTACTAAAAAGTAGTTATGTATACCTAACTATTAATATTTAATATTTCTCTACAACAAGTTTTATGCCTATGTATAATTGAAAACTGTAACGGTGTATAGTGACTTTCAAAATAATAGGTTTAGACTACCCATTACAAATTCTATAATAATTAATACCTATTGACTAATGACTTAATCATAAAGATTAAGTGTCGCGATAAAAATATTCAGTAACTAATATAGTAAAAAGTATAGGCATATAGCATTAGTTATTATGGTGAAGTAGAAATACTACTACAATATAATATAATGTATAATCTAGTCGAAGTACCTTAAAGTATAATATGTCTTTATTTAACTATGCAATAACGGTAAGTTAAAAATGACTCCAATGTTTTGAGACCTGAAAATGTAAATTGTAATGCATTATAATATATTAAGCTAAAAGTAGAACCAAGAATATAAATCTGTGGCTTGGGTCGAAAAGGGCCAATCTCAATTTTAGTCACTTTGTAGTAATCAAGAATAAAGCCTCCTTTTTTTTTTTGAAAATTCATAGCAATTTTTTTTTTTATTGTTCATGTTTTTGTTTTTGTGATGGATGTAAATATAGTTTACCCTACATTTTAGAGTATGGTGTGAATTTTTTAGTGAAATATAGAAGGTTTTCTATTGACATTGGCCCTACAAAAAAAAAAAAAAAATCATGACTTTGGCCCTTATAGTGATCACTATAAGGGCCAATGTCATGATTTTTTTTTTTATAGGGCCATTGTTGTCATTTTCATGGGGCCAATGTTCACATTGGCCCCATAGATTTTGTAATTTTCATGACATTGGCCCTCTCATATCTTGCACTAATGATTAACGAGATACGCCCTTTTACCACTAGAAAAAGCGTATTAAGTTTTATGAGATTGGCCATATAACTCATTTTCGCCAAAAAGTGAGATTGGCCCTTTTAGACCCAAGCCACAGAAATACTTCAATTCATCATAAAAATTACCTATACATTTATTTTAGAATGCGTAAATCCCTTTTCGGTATTTATAAATTATAAAATGTTAAATAACCTTTATTGTGTATGATGTTTCTAAGTAATATACCTATACCAACAAACTACAAGTATAATAATTGGTTTTAAAACTTTGGAAGAAGGTATTATTTCAGGACTACAACAAAATAGTAAAATACCGAACAAATTACGGTAAAATAAATACAAACAATTTTGGAAGAATACTAGTTGCTATTTTTGGCCTGATATATTTAAGAATTTTAAATTTTGTTCGTTATTTGGTAAGTCCGACAGATTCATAAAACAGAATTTTTTTAATCAGTGTAAACAGATGGTTTATAGTTTGTTACCATGTATTTACATTCAGTGAATCATCAACTGAATGAATCTAAATGTTGCTACAAAGTAGAGAATAATATTATAAGCTCTGATAATCAAATGAGTAAATTATAATAATACCTATAATATAATTTAATTATTTAAAGATTATTTCAACGTCAATTTTGTTAAAGAATTTTAATTATAATTACTTATAACAAAACCGATACAAAATGTCAGTAGAGAATTGAATGGCTGAAGATATGAACAATATAATATGTTAAAACAATATTATTTTAATTGGTCCAATATGATATGTATATAATTGGTTTTGGTATTTTTAATAATCATATTATTTATTTACAGGACGTGTATAAATAACATGATACAAATAATGACAAAAGCCCGTGTGAATATGAGATGCATTTATTTATATCTCATATTTTATATTTAATTGATTTAACTTAAAATAAAATGATGTCCGTCATAAACTATGGTTTAATTTATTTGAATTAAAGAAACAATAATAGTTTAGTAATCAGTTTGACAAATTAAATATGGATGTGAAATATAAGTTTACTGTGATAGTATACTCATATTTTAATGAATATAGTTTTTTGGGGCAAGCATATCAATAAAATAAAATAGTTGGGTAATGAAGAATTTAATGATTCAAAATTAGTACCAATTATAATAAAAATTAATTGAATTTAGTGATCAAAAATTGTTGGTATTTCTTTGGATAAATTTTCTTTACGCTATACCAAGGGAAACAACAAGTTTTTTATAAAAAATATCGTTACTAATAATGACCACTTAGATCAATTAGATGGAAGTTCCGATTTATATGTAAACATCATTGAAAACGATATTTGAAATACAGATAGGGTATTTGAAATTGTTTTTGTCGGTTAAATCATAAAACTGAAAACTTCGTTGCAATTTTACTGTGAAAAACGACTTCGAGACTTCGACTTCCACCTACTTGTTATATAAATTATAATGCAAATAGTAATTATGGTGCTGTCCGTATAACGTTGAGAAAACTGATTCACAACAATTTGTTAAACAAACAATGGTTTAATACCAATATATGTCAATATTTAAATTATTCTTATAACAAATATAACATAAAATATTAATTTATAAACTCACGTTAGTTTTAGTACATAGGCAAAAGGTTAAATTGTATATTATTGTAATACAGCAAACAAGTATTCTGTTTATGCACATGTGTCAAATTATATTAACATTAAACACTTACTATGTAAAAGTATAAAAATCATATGACTGGTTATGAACGTTCAATGACCAAGTTTAAAACTTACTTAAAACTGTTACAAATGCATATTTTATTATTTTGCATTTTTTAAAAACGTTTAGGTAGATATAGATTAATAATTATTAGCTTTATGAAATGTTTTATAAATTAGTAAACGATTGCCTGCATGCCGTTTTTGTTACTTTTAAAAAAACATTCGATACAGGAATATAGAATATGTACCTACATTATAAATTATTTACCAAGTTAGTTTACACATATGAGTAAACATAATATGGTCTAAAACTTAGGTAGGCAATGCAATTTGGAAATAATACAAATATTTACCTATTTATTCAGAAATTCAATCTAGAAACATTAAAGTAGTTGGATATCACAATTAAATAATGTAATAATTAAAACATAGCAATTCTAGACTTGAGTTTATGGACTATAATTAACAATTCAAAATTGTTAATGATTTAAAATATTACTAAAACAATCAATATTTAATATTATAATCTGCTTTAAGTGGTTTAATATTACATATTTACATTACCTATCACAGGATTTCGGTTTAACTATTTATTTTATGAAACCATTTGTTTCGCCTGTTTATTTCCAGGTGAATTATCGAAATTGAAAACCGGTCCAATTTTCCTGGTTCTCAACTGTTATTTAACAACCTTCGATAATGTTTTACGATATCATTATTGTTATTACCTACTATATTATATATTGTATCTATATCCGTTGAACGGACGAATATCTTTCCCGCCGAACTCGCGTCCCACAGTACCAGCCGATGTGAACTCAAAGACCAAAGTACAAATATTAGAAACACCGGTTTCAACTATTTTTAACGAATAACGACTGATACATTTTTTACACGTTAAGTGTAATAATAATAATATACCTACAAGTGACTCTATCGATTATCGACATTGTGATGCCTATAATAGTAATAAAAACGATAATAATTAATTATAATCTATCCTGATTTGTGTACTTATTTTCTTTTCAAAAATTGTTACGTTTACTTACCGAGACGTTGTTATTCGTCAACGGAGCTGATTCGGTCTTGGCGATGTCTTCTGACGGTTTCAATACGGATGCAGGGTTGACTGCAGGGTTGGCTGCCGGGCTGATGGGTGCAGGGTTGACGGACGCAGGGTTGCTGGCCACAGAGTTGTTGGGTGCAGGGTTGACAATAGGGGTGTTCGAATCTAGGGCCAAAACACATTGCAAAGCGAAAGCAAATACAATTGTCAGCAGTACGAACGAATTCCTTGCCCGGCTTTCCATTTTCTTCGAATTAATAACGCAGAACGTCCTGTGCAGTTCAAAATTAACGAACGTGAATTTATTTACCAAACCGTAGGTACAATATAATGTCCGCTGAGGAGAGGAAATCCACTTGAAGGCGAATCGAACGACGACGGCGATGACAACAAAATATAAGAATGATCTCGGTATCCGCTGTGTTGGTGCGTGCCTCGAAAACCGGCGTCTGGCTGCAAAATGTGAAAGCCGGCCACCGGGCATACGGCATATTATACGGCGGCGGTCGGTGGTGCGCCGCGCTTTTCGGATTGCATCGGACGGTGGGGGAAACATAGGCCGCCGCCGCGACGGCGCGACGTCTGGTGACCAGAACCGGTACAAACTGCCATCGTTCGGGCCCAAAACTGTAAAACGTCTATAGGTACTAGGTAGTGGGTAGTGGGTACCTATCTAATTCAAATTTCAGTTTTATACAATCACGTATCGTTTCTATTCAGTATTCAGATCATAATAATATTATTAATGATATAATATTATTGATTTCCCTGAACTATTTCTCTGAGTGTTCGTCGGTTTAAAACACCTTCCATATTATATTGTATAGAAATATTAATGTTAAATTGTTAAATAATTATCATTACAATAACACCATAACAGTGTTATCATTAATTGTATTTACAGGGCAGGCTCAAGCTAAAATAGTGAACTAATAAAAATCAAATATAAAAAAGGTGCTCTGCTGTACAGTAGGTTACAAGTGGGGCACTGTATAATGGATAGTAGGTATTAAATTTGAATTCAATGATATAATATACTAATATCATTGTATAAGAAAAACGATTCTGAGCGGAGACGATATGTCAGGCTAGGTATAAGGCATATTATATACTTATCTATGGTATTAAAAAAATTGACCTATTATAGGTACCTATAATAAATTCCAAATTAATCATATCACAATATCCATTAGGTACTTATAACGCGTTATACATCAACAACAAACCCTGATACTATCATAGAATATAATAGTGTACTTTAGAAATTTCAAGTACCCATGAATAATATTATACAATCACAACGAAATAACTAAAATAGTTATTCTAGGTTTTTTTTATGTAATTTCATCCAAATTTGAACTTAAAATGACTATAAAAATAAACTGCGAGTGTGTATTTTTTAGATTTTTTGGTAACAGAATTAACTACTTACGTGGTATCTTGTTTTAAATTTTCAATCCTTAGATATAAAAGTTGAACATTTTATAAATTGTTAACGACAAAATAATTATTCAATTTTAAATTTGATTAATTTTGTCAAAATTCGATCTTTAAATGCTTATAAAAAAAAATTGTGCCCATGTATTTTTAATATTTTTCAACCGATATTGTAACAATATATCAGGAGCCTTGTATTAAATTTTCAAGCTTTTTTAACCAACTAATACATTTTTATTGATATTAATAAAATAAAAAAACTAATAAAATTGGAAACTGAAAATGTCCCTAAACAGTTCAAAATAAATCAAAATATTTTGAAAATGTTATCGTGTATAGAAAATGCAAATATAAACAGCCAGTGAAAATTTCACTTATCTACGGTCATTTGTTTTAAAGTTACACCAAAAACCAAAATCGATTTTCTCAAAAACAGATTTTGCGTAAAAATTTCCGTTTTTCCTTAATTTTTCTTTTGTTTTTCACGGCGCTTTTGAAAACTATTGGGAAATTTTTACTTTTGAACCCCCAAAAGTACCAACTAGATTCACTTTCCTATCAGAAAAGCTACTGTTGAAGAAAATCCAAGCACTTTTACTGTCCTAAAACGTGATGACAGACACAAAAATAAAAAAAACACACATCACTGTAAAATCAATACATTATCGTTCCTCTCAGAATCTAAAACGCAAATCCAACAATTTAATATTATTAGTATTTATAAATTTATAATCAATGGTATTATGTTATTATTTATCACGAATTATCGTAAATTGCAGTTACTTACGAATTATGAGGTCCGTTATAATGTTAAATGAAGACATACAGTACTACCTACTATGAGTTTAATTACTCAATGCAATTTGATTATAATTCACTCTGTTGATTAATTTTATTTACCTAATGTTAAAACAACTATATTAACTACTATAACGAAGATTATCCCATCTCATTGTCTTATTATTTATTACCTACGTAGTTACTAATTATAATCATCATTGCATACATTTATATTAGTTTCCTTGTTATGTATTATGTTAAGAATAGATTTAATACCATATTATGATAAAAAATTGTATTAACGTTTTCAGAAAAAATTTTAAATATCTATAAATATGTGTTCCATTCCACATCACCAACTATGATAGAAATAATCCTATTTACCGTTTGATGCGCATTTGCGTAACGAGCCCCTAGGCTTCTCTTAAACGTTTTATTAATAGTACTGCAATCTGTTATTCTTATTTTTTACCTTTTGTTAATTTTTTTTATTTTTGTTTTTATATATTTGCCATTTGTTTTTTTTATCCTTTGTATTGTTTGGCGTTTGCTTACCTAATTATTATGTTATATTGTTCAAATTTATTATTATAAAATATTGTATTGTACCATTGGGCTCTTAGCCCGTTCATAAATAAATAAAAATAGTTCAAAAGATCCAAATTATTTGGAAAATTATTCCACGTCTAGGTAATGTTAAAATAAATAAAGTAAAAATTTCGAACTTTTACTGTTATTTTTTTTGAATTATAACAAAATAACAAAACTGATTACGCGTCCCATGTATTTAGTTCAGTGCTCTAGGTATTGGTTCTATGACATTCGTCGACTTTTAATTATGTACTTTGAGTTTGAAAAAGTGAGCTTATTCTATATTCAACGATATATAAATTATAAAATGGTATGAGAGTTGATGTTCAAAGAACACAATGCAAGACACAAGTCCATATTTAAAAACCATAAAAATAAATATTGAAACCAGTAACATTAGTAACAAAAATAAATATAGCTAATCGTTATTATCTATTCTATCCATTCGGACAAAAAATGTTTTTTTTTTTTTTATTTGAAATACATGATATGCAGTATGTACACAATAGCACGATAAGTATAATGTGATGTGATGATTGTGTATTTATGCGGGATTGCCGCAGACACAGGTTTAGGTACATGATAATATATGTCCAAAACCAGTGTGGCAGTGTCCAGTAGGTAAAATCCATTAGTGAAACGTTAGGATTGGGTTATTATTAATAAAATATAATTATTATAATATATATATATTACCATCGAATTATCGAAGATCATTTTTGATAAGATTTGCAGGTACAATAATAATTGATAAAGTATTCCAATGACGTTATGTTTATAACTAAAAGTAAAATATATAGAGTAACCTAGAGATTTAATTGTATTCCTATCGAATAGGTATATTTTTTATGTAATACAGTAAAAATGTGAATAAAAATATGTAAATACAGTGATTAGAAGGGAATATGAAGAGGTTAATTAACTAAGTAAAATTTGAAAAAAATTTCAATACGATGTTCATGTTTAGAATTGTTTGATACTTTTATATTGTTGAAGTCTGAAGCAATAACTATATTGAATAGGTAAAGACATACTATTATGGGTTGATCAATGGGGTAAGAGAGTTGAAAAGGGATACACTGTAATATTTGTTTTTTATTTGGATTATGCTGGTTTGGACGTATATTTTTTCGGCACTTGAGTTGAGATTTATAATTATTTGGACAACTCTTGAAATTGGATGTGCAATGAGTACCTATACCCCCCACGGGAGAATGAAGTGGTTATCCACCGTTCGATAATGTATATAAATTATAATTCATTGTTTAAATTATGTTTTGTCTATAAATTATTTTGTAGCTCTATGCACCAAAATAGTGAAAATTCAGCCTTGGCAAGTCATTATTGATGATGGCTAACATAGACAATACATAAAATGACCAAATTTAATATTCAAAGTATAGGTAATGTTAATTTATTTATTTACTAAAGAATACTTAAATCGACAAAGAAATTTACCTAGGTAAGTACCTATTATGTTATTATAATAAATTATACTCGGGTATTAGTTATTAGTTATTACTACTGTTATAAAAATATATTATTTTATTTATTTTCATAAGACAAACTGCAAATCATTTAGAATACGTATTCCTGTCTCCTCCTCCTTGTTGAAAATTCAAAAAAAAATTAATTACCTTAAAATATTTAGAATAATAATAAGCATAGTATTAATATGTACGACGGTTCTCGAAAGTCAAAACTATCGTTATCCATTTATTCACAAAAATATTTTTTTTAATTCGTGCATGTCATCAAAAAAAGTGGAAATAAAACAAAAAATAACGTTCAGTTCATAATATTATATAGATCAAAATATGTTATTTATTACCTTAGGAAAAACCGATGAATTACATTGACTAAACGTATGAGTCATTTACGGTGAATAGTTTCTGTATATCCCACCCCTTTCTCATTACTAAATCCGCCCTTGTCTTTACTTAATTGTTAATAGACAATAGTTAATAGTAAATATCCCTTAAAAAAATATGAGATGTGGGTGTTACCTACCCATTAATTTAAAAATAATAATAATAACAAATACCTATAAGGCATTTAGGCATAGGCTTAGGTATAGTATATTGCATCATCGCTTAGTTTAATAACATAATTACTTAGATTATTTATATTTCATTCGTTGTAATATATCAACATTCAACACTGTTATTTTTGTTTACAATACAGGTACAACGTTATACTCCTTTTTAAATATTTTCCAATATGCGTATAATGTTATTAAAAAATATATTCATATATACAGCAGAAGCAATAATTTCAACAATGATTCAATAAATTAATTTAAAATGTAGATATACATTATACCAATCACTCTTCGGTGCAATTGGTATGCGCAAAACACAAAAATCATCCATTTATGATTGTTTTAAATGTGTTAATATTGAAATAGATAACACAAATACTACCTATATCATTTATGGAGCCATGGAGGATATATTATACATCGTGTTGTATGGAATCGAGAAGAAACATTCGATGCCACCTTTGAGAAATACATACATAATATACATTCATAACATCATAATATTATGAAGAAAAATTAAAATTGATACATTTTTGAAATCACGATAACTGAGGAATTATTACTTATAGGTAAAAAAGTGCTGGATGATTATTTTATGGTGTGCTGAATTTCTGAGCAACTCTGATCACGGACAAGAGGCAC